TATACCCTACAGAGGGGTACGAAAGAGCAGTGGTTATTTCACCCTACTTTAACCTTTTCATAGGCAATTGGATTATTAAAATAATGTGTGCTTTCTGTGGATTGGTTATATTTTATGTTCTAAGACATTGGAGTCTTAAAATAAGAACATTTTTAATTACAATAGTTATAAACCAAGTCAAAGTCTACGCAGCTCAGCCAGCTTCATTGGAGAGCTGTGCTTGAAAGGAAACAGCATGAAATATTAAATACAAAATACAAACTCCTCTGACTTTGCCTGAACAGTTAAGACATGGCTTCCAAATCCACATGAAAGCTTTTTATGTGCACCCAGAAAAGATCACATGCATTGTATTGGAATGAAAGTATTAGAGTTTATTAGTCTCCTCAACATATCTATCCAATCCCTTAAGGCGGAAGAGCTCCTCTTGTGCAGTGGTGACTTTGCAACCATTTAATTTCCTTCTCCTCTTTACTGCCGTAATTCTGAGATAAACTTGCAAATGTGTTTATTTGGTTTTTTTGGATTGTTGTTTCTTCTGTAGTCTGACAGCCACTACTCCAGCCATTCCAGCAGCAATACTCTGTCCAGCAATGCCTCCAGTGCTCACAGTGATGAGAAATGGTATGACAGTGGAGAGCGCACCGAATCGGAGCTGAACAGCTACAACTACCTTCAAGGGACTTCAGCTGATAGTGGCATAGATACCACTTCCTACGGACCTAGCCATGGCAGCACTGCCTCCCTGGGAGCAGCAACATCTCCCCGTACAGGGCTAACAAAAGAAAAAGTGGCACCACTGTGGCATAGCTCCAGCGAAGTGGTCTCCATTGCAGACAGGACATTAGAAAAGGACAGCCACATGGACCGCAAGACCGAGTCTTCACTGAGCCTGGATATTCACAGCAAAAGTCAACCAGCCTCCAGTCCTCTAACGAGGGAGAACAGTGCTTATAGTCTTAGTGATGCCGTCTCACATACAAGGTAATTTTCACCTCTTAGGAGATTGACCCCTCCACACTCATTTTCCCATTCTCACTCTAACCTATCAAAAGTGAGAAGTGAATGTTGAAGAGAGGTCCCTATTTACATTAACCAGTGTTTTGGAAGATCTCACAGTGCGGAATGCTTCAAGATTAAGACCACCTTTAGTCTTTGCATCTCCTACTGCTTATAACTAAAGAATGTCTTTGAGAGTATATTCCATACAGCTCCTACTAAACTAACATGAGACAGACACGTGTGTGATGTGTTCGTAAGGAATGTCTTGCAACACTGCAGTTAATATGTGGATCAGGAAGGAGATCAGTACGTTTTTTTTTAATGAACAGTTTAAAATGGGCATCCTTTTTAAACTTGCAGGTACACGTTTCAGATGTTTCTCACTTTTTACCCAGCCTTGTTTAGAAATCTGCTTGCAGGCAGTATGATCAATGCTGAGAGCAAGTTTCTTGGGAGTGCCAGCATGTAGATTTAATCTCATTTTTCTACAAGCTTGTGGATATGATATTACCATCACACTCCCTGTCTTCCTCAGTTTTGCCACTTGTAAAATTGGCATAGCAAGTACGTGTATACTGTGCTTGAACGCCTCAGATGGAAGATACCCACTATACACATTAACCAGAGCTGCCAGAGGCAGAAAATATTCTAGACAATTTTCCTAACCTATTTCCCAAAAGGTATTTAGCGTGCTTTTTGAAAAATATTCAATACTGTGTCATACTAGCAACAAGACAAAAACACAGCTCTTTCAAGGAACATATATGATAATGATAAATTGTTGGCCTTGAGGAGCCTGGCTGTTGCATTTTCATTCTTGAGGCACCTCTGGTTTGAGTGTGCAGCTATAATTCCTGCAAACTGGAAGCCTGATGCAATTTTTGCTAATCGTTTTGAGCAAGGCTACATTTATGCAAGGCTAGATGTTTATCAGACACTTCAACAGTTCCTCATACAGTAGCTGCAAATAGGGGGTTGTCATAGAGACTGTAACGTACTGAACGGTCTCCATGTACTTTGTCATAGTAATTTCGACGGAGTAATCTATTAATGGTGGTCCTGCTCTGGTTTTCTCTTTCTCCTGGTTGGCCATCTTTGGCACTAAATTTCATACTCAGTTGGTATAAATCCCACCCAGGTCTTTGAGACTGGTGTTTCCATTCCATGCATGAAGGACTTCAGCAAGTCTATAAACAACACTGTGCAGAGGAACTTAGATTTTGGGCGATGTTAGCATGTGCCCCTTGAAGATTAAAATCTATATGGTAGTTATCTACAGTTTTATACCTTTTAAGACAAGCATGTTCATATTAATTTTTCTTTAGTGTTCATTAGGATTTACCACAAGCCCAGCAATTCGTGCCTGAATGTAACTAGCATCAGTGTTATGGGAGATTCTTGCACAAAATGCTGATCGCAGTGAAGTTGTCAGTAGCATTTCCATTTGGAAGGATTTGTTCAGAAGCAACTCAAACCCTCGAAAAATTGAATGTAACTCTTGGAAGCTTTACCATAAAAGTGTGCCTAATGTGAATGCTATCTTTGTATATCTGAGGTTCTGGTTCACTTTTCTCTGAGCACCAAATGGGGTTAGTTCAGTAGAAAAGCTGAGAATATCTTTGCAGGGCAGGCATACCCTGGCAGCTCTCATCTTTGTCTTCTGTGGATATACTTTGCAACTTGATTGCCAGCTTAAATCTAGGATGTTGTCTCATTATTATGTGGTAGCATTGTGTCTCCAAATATGTTGTTTTCTGTTGCTGATTTGGATTCATTTATGTGATGCTTCTCTGAGGATAAATAATCTCTACATGTTTTTTGAGGCTGTTACTGAAATTTCCAGACAAAGATTCCCGAGCCTTTGTGCTAGGAAAAACATTTTGGGTTTGTTTTTTGTTTTGCAGTTTCACTTAAAAAACAGATGTTAAAAATGCAGCTCTTTGCAAAGAGGAGTAGTAGCAATTTGTAGAACACATGGGGCATGATACTTGAGAAATACTGCAGTCGTTGCACCCACATTGTTTATTTTGGTGGAGATAAAAAAAGCCCAGATACTTGTGTTCCTTCTTTATTTCTTATTTTTGAAGACTGGAACATGTGTTTGATGCCTCACAATAAAGCAAAGGCAGTCTGGGCTAAAAAGCTTTCATTTTTTTTCTAATGGCATCCTCAGTTGGTGATTGCACACTTAACACCAGTGCTGACCTGAGGAAACCCTAGGTCCAGCTGTTCGCTTCCAACTCTCCACAGGTCTTTCTATGGAGGCACAACAGCTTGGAGCTGGAGGCTTGTTAAACTGGCACTTCCAAAATGTAGCCACAGCTGCCTCCTCCTGAAGGAGGAGAGACTAAAGGGTGATTCTGAACAGGCTGCTTTTCATGAGAAATTAACAGCTTAATTGGCGTGTTTCTCTATCAGTTTCTAAATTGTTATCCTTCGTTGCTTCTCACTTTTTCACCTTTTGCCTGTGGAGGCCAGGATGTCTGTAATGTCTTTAGAGTCAGGTTTCTAAGGAAGAAGAAAAGGAATTTAGCCCTAAAAAGAACTCGGTGACAGAAGAAAGTAACCACAAATTAGAGTGTTTGTGTCTGTGGAAGACAGGAGCAATAATTAGTGTTCAGATCATTTAATGGTGCATAAAAGAACTTGTACCTGAGATGTGGTGGCAAAATGTAAATTATAGTGATTAACTTCTAGAGCAGAGCTTCTGGCTGGGTTTTATTTTTCTTCTCCACCTCTATTCCCAAAGTCCTTCCTGATGATTGTGCAGATTTCTCATAGCATCCCAGGAGAACTGCATTATGTAGGCCAGAAATTATACAGAGTCATTATAGCTGAATGTCATTAAATGAAGCCATATGCACTGATGGCATGAATTCCCTAGGAAAAAAATAAAATCAAACTTTAATTTCCACCTAAACTGTACAGAGTTTCTTATGGTTCTGTTACCGAAACTGAAAGGAAAATTGTGGCTATTTCTAGTCAAGTATCTTTTTCATTCTTTTTAATAAAGCTGCTTAAAATATTATTTAATAATTGTATCATATTTTTATGAATGGTTCACCTGCAATTGTTGCAGATCGTCATGTAGTATTTGAATTTTTCTTTAACTTAATCCTTGATTCCTCAATAATTGAGGTGGGAGGTGGGATACCAGCAATGGCTGTCTCTGTGTCCTGAGAATGAGGACTGAATTTCTCCAGATATGATCAAGCTGATCCAGGCATCCTTACAGACAGATGAGGGATCCTTTGCATGTTTCCTGTGTCGCATACTCTCTTTCCATCTCTACTGTAGTGTCCAGCTCTGATTTAGGTTTTTGTGGTTTTTTTAGAGTTTATCCAAAGCCTTTTGCTCTTCAAATATGCTCTCACTTAACAAGTATGTCTCTTTGTCTGTCAGTATCCTATTGGCCCGACTGTGTTTACTTATAGGGTGAAAAGCTTCAGTCATATCCACAGTTTGTGCATAGTTCCTGAAGGAGGATATCCTCCCAACATACTGTATTGTAAAACTGCAGCTCAAAATGCAAGACACTTTAAAGAAAAATGTACCTAAAACCATATGCTAATTTTCTTGTTTATTTGCTAGGCTGCTTTTGGCATCTACTTTATGATACATATTATAATAAATATTAAAATAATAACACTTAAACAATGTGTGTATACAATATGTAAGAAAATACTATTTTATTATATATACATATGCATTTCCTGTATAAATTTTATGTAGAGCATTCTGGACATCATTTCTTTACCCGTTTTCCCTAGTAATATTAGGATCCACTCTAGTGGCCTATCTAGGAGTTGTTACTGGTTTTTATCAAGAAATTTTTTCTTAGAACTAGCATTTCCTTGAGAACTACCTGATGGATTAAAGAATTCTGAAATGAACTTCCCTTTTCCTACACTGAAGCAAAAGACTTCTTCTTGAGTGTATTTAGAAAGGGGTACAAAAAATATAAAATAGCTCTATACATTTTCTTTAAAGATGTGCATCTTCCCCAGACCTTGGCAGTTTAATTTTGTGGTGGTGATGCCTCACAGATGGACTGCTTTACTCAGCATGTGTAGGAGTTTTATCTCAGTTTTAAAAAAGAGAAGGGGGAATGAAGAGAAATTTACTGCCTCTCCCCCTAGCACTTAATTTTCTCTGCTTTCTTGCTATAAATTATGTTTACTTTTCCTGTTACGAATACGAAGATTGTGATGCGCAGCCCCAAATATACAGGCTTGATGGACAGGAAAAGCTTTTCCTATATTTTCCCAATCTGCTGTCTTTTGTATAGGCTTTTCAGATGTACAGATTTGGGGGGGGGGGAGAGAGGAGACGTAGATTTTGGGGGGGGGGAGAGGGGGAAGAATAATTCTATAATACATAAATCTATATTGCTGTCATTTGATTTGCATACATACGGGGAGATGTATCTTCCCTCTGATGTGAGGGACTTCACAGCCAGCCCCATGTACATCAGATGAGGGATGGCTGCAGCAGCTGGTGCTGTTTGAGGTGGGAAGACTACGGTCCAGTTAGACTCCTCATTAAATCCACAGCACTTGACTGCTGGGACTTGTGATGCTTAACTTGCACCATATGAAAATGGAACATAGTTGAAGGTGATTTTTTTAGATTCCATCTGTTGTCAGTGGAGAGAGAGGAGAAACTCCAGAGCATTAATTCTCCCTATGTATCTGAGACACCTAATTTAAGATGAGGAGAATCAGCTCCTTAAGGATATTTCTCCATTGACTACAGCAGGAACCAGACAAGTGGCATAGATTAAGTAACTGACTTCTATAATGCTAAATGTAGGTGAGATTGTTTTCCCAGGTGGCAACATAAATTTAGCCTTGAATTCTTTCTCTGTGTCAGTAAGAGAGAGAGGTGAAAATTCATTGTTTTATCAAGATATGAAAAGAGTGGTGAATAATTTTCTGTTAAGCTAAGAAAGAAGAGATTATTCAGTGACTTTATTCAACCTCCCAGCTAATTTTTATTTCTCAGTCAGAAGCTGTTCTTTACCACGGGGCCATCTGTTTCAAATTCCTTCCTTGCAGTGTTGAATACATGGATGAAAATGGCTAAGTTGTATAGAGAGAGCTGATAAAAAAACTGGTCTCCAAATATATAATGCTATTTCAGTGCTCAGGCTGTACACAAATTTTCCTGTAACTGTACTTAGGAATGCCTGACCTTTTAAGGTTGTTATAGTAAATATTGTCCTAAGCCCTAGTGCTCCTGATATGATGCAAGTTGCATCAGATTTGAATATCAGTATAACTGAAGAGCAGCTGCTCTCTAAAGTCCCCCTCCTTCTTCCAACAATTAAGCTGCAGTTGGTCATCCCAAGTCTTTTTCCTGTCTGGGCAAAACGTGATACAGGTTAGAGACCTGCTCAAACTTCTCAATTTAAGTCTTTTTTTTTCCATTTTTTTTTTTTTTTTTTTTTTTTTTTTGCACATGGTGACTGCTTTTCTTTTGGAAAAATCCAGGAAACCCTCTTTTGAAAGATGTATGGGTTTCTTCTTTGACTTGTTGTGGGCTCCTAGAGGTGTTTCCTGTCGCTTAAGTTCCTTCAAAATAAGCTTTCTTCCACAGCCAGGAATTCCAGCAAGAAATTGGACTTTGTTGGTTTGGGGTGGTTTTTTTTTCCTAATTCAGCTACAATTTCATGTATAACCTTTAAGACACCTAATGAAGGTAAACCCTAGATTTCCCACTGGTGAAGGGGAATGAGGAGAAGGTGGTCTACTGCATCCTTAGAGGTTGCTTACAAAGTTTTTCGTTACTGTATGAGATGTTTTTAATGAAAAGGAAGGCCCTTAAGAAGAGAGAATTGGTTTTGATACACTACTCACTATTGATAGGAGTAACATCTTCTGCCTAGAGTTCTTTAAAAATAGTTAAGCAAGGTGCATGTATACACATTTGAGGCAAATTTTGTCTTTATTATGTTTTTCTCCTAGTACCATGAGCTCACGACACTCTGCCAGCCCGGTTGTTTTCACCAGTGCTAGAAGCTCTCCTAAAGAAGAGCTTCATCCTGCTACTTCTCCCCAGCTTGCGCCTTCTTTCTCCTCCTCCTCTTCCTCCTCATCTGGTCCTAGGACTTTCTACCCTCGCCAAGGTGCTACTAGCAAGTATCTGATCGGATGGAAAAAGCCAGAAGGGACAATAAACTCAGTGGGGTTTATGGATTCAAGAAAGTAAGGCTATTTTTTGGTTCTCTTGTTTCGTTATTTGCTTTAACTGTAAAGACGCATTGAAATCTGTGACACTTCTCTGTATAGAAGAACTCGAGACGATTGAATGCTTATTTTTCTGTAGAACTTAATCTCTAATCTAGAGTTCTGCAGTTAGACTTAAATATTTGATAGTTAGCTAACCTCATTCCCTGTTAAATTGCAAAGGCTTTTTTTTTGTCATTTCTTGACAGCTGTATGAATTTCAGTCCGATTAAAGCTTATCTTTCCTTGGGACTTCTTAAAGGTGACTCAAAATGCTCTTTGAGCAAATATTAAAAATCCTCTTAATGTAGAACCTGAGTTTTCCTTAAGCCTCTCATCCATGTAGTAGTACTGCACATGCTGTGCATTAGTTCTGTGGCACTCCATGTTGCCTTGTTAAGATTGCTGTCAGTATCCAGTCTAACTGGCTTAGAGCAAGCCAAGGTCTCTCTGCGTTAGAATATACAACTATCTGTTTTGGAAGAGAAATTGAGAAACAACTTGGTAGCGAAAATACTGTTCCTTTAAGTCTAGTGTGACTTTGAAAGCAAGTGGTTCAGAAAGCCCATTTCAAAGTAATTTATTTGACCCATCTTGACTTTTATTGGCTTGAGCACACTATCTCTAGATGATACCAATAACTGGCTGTAAAAGGAGATGGTGAAACTTTGTGATAATTGCACTATAAAAAGACAGTTAAAAGATTAAAGAAACATAGTGATTTCCTACTTTGGGGCTCATTGAAGACATTTATATTTTTTAGTTTTTTACAAAATACACTTTAATAGATGCAATTCCTTATTGTGAAAATGTATTATGATAATCTTCAAGTGTATTGCTAGCTGATTTTCTTTAAACAAGGTTATTGCTTCTGCAGGTACTCATAAAGATGAGGCTCTGCTCTACCAGCAAAAATCTTTCCCTCGTTCATGCCCCCTACCTAGGGTTTTTCTTTGAAAATCTTGAGGGTGCTATAATTCTTGTTTCATTCATGCCTCCTGCCCCAGGGCTTTGAGACCTGAATGTGTCTGTTCCATTTCATTTAAGACGTCACCAGAGTGATGGCAATGAAATGGCCCACCCTCGGCTGCGTGCTTCAGCAAGAGATCTACGAGCATCACCGAAACGAGCATCCAAGTCCACTGTTGAAGAAGAGCTGAAGAAATTGATAGATCTTGATAGCCCAACACCGGAATCCCAGAAGAATTTTAAGGTATGTTAAAGAGAGAGTCTGTCCCTTGGCTATCTCTTGTCACAGTTAAGTGAAATCCGAAAATACCTGGAGAGCAATGCACAGGTCCTCTTGTGATCCAAGTCATAGTTCTGTTGTTACAAAATAGAGATGTGTAAAGTTACACTTTATAAGAATTTGGTGATTGAGTTCATTGCTGCTGAGGCATATGTCAGCTAATACAGCAAATGCTTCACAATTTGGAAGAGGATGGAAGGCCATGAAGCTCTGAGATTTTGGCGCAGAAAATACTGAGTGCTTTCAAAGCAGTCAAAGCTGAAGTGCTCATTCATACAGAGCTTACTTGGTTGAATTTTGCATTGGACTCAAGACTTTCTCAGATAGGTTCTTTTCTGTTCTCATCCATAACAGGAAATTGGTATGGCGTTCCCTGCATTTTCATCATGGACAGAAAGCCATCTGTTTGTCACAAACTTAGCTTACTAGAGAAATACTGTTATTACTACAATCAGTGCAATCGTACTAGTTTTGTATGCAAATTTAAAGAGACTAGGATGCCAAATTGCAAAGAATGTTTGGGACTGCTGGCTCATGGAAAATCCTGGGGTGTTGTCTTATGCATTTGAATTGTTCTTCCCTGATCACATCGCTAGACAGTGACTTGTTGACAGTATTGAAACTCCTTGCAAAAAAGCATGCTTTCATGCCTCTCTAATCCTATAACTGCACGAAGACCAAGAATGCTCCCTAAACTTAAGCAAATATTTATACAGAATAAATGGTTACAAACTTTTCCTGATGAATTTCAAAATATGCATAGTAACACAAAAGTGCATATATTAGTTTTAAACATCTCTCATTTTGAAAAGAACATCTTGACTTCTACAGCCTCCATGTACAGGCACTGTTTAACAGCTCAGGCTCATCACCTCGAGCCCAAATGGTTTCCACAGCAACCATGCAGAACAGAGAGCTCCAACCTCCTCCTTTGTTTGTAAAAACCCAGAGTGGCTTATTAAAACTTGTAACTGCTGGGTTCCATACGCAGATTATTTCAGATGTTACCTTTGAGGCCAGAGAAGAACAAAAAACTTGTGAGTGTCAAGATACCTGTTTCATAGGTTTGTGATAGTTCTGAGAGGAGTGGGACACGGGTGATGTGATCATCTCCCGGTGGCTGTTTTCAGCAAGGGGGTTATTCTCATTCCGAGACGTTACATTCTGCTTAAAGAGGTGACCTGAAGACCTTGAGAAGTGTGTATGTTCCCAAGTTCATTGTTTTTCTGCTTTGGTGTTAGTGAATCAGTTCTTACCCTGATCTTTTTTTCCTGGTAACTGCAGTATGTTAACTCAGGTTACACTTTTGATAAATTTCAGCAAGTTAATAACGTTCTATTACACCAATAAATGAAATCTTTTCCATTTGAAGAGTAACTGTCATTTCTACCCACTGCATGATTTATATTTCTTCTTAAAAAAGGTGCTCTTGCAGCATCACATTTTTTTGACATTTTTAAAAGAAAGAAAAATAATAATGACCTTCATGAGTTCACTGCACAAAGACCAGAAATCCTCCTCCTTCCTGTCTGTTGGCTGCCAAAGGCTTTGTTTGCTAGCAGAATTTGTTCTAGGCTGTGATTCTGTGTCTTGTGCATCTTTTCATTATCTTCCCAGCTTTCTTTATCTCCTTACCTATTACTTACGTATTTTATCTTCTCAGACACGTTGCACTTCTTTTTCTCTTACCTCTGCTCTATCCCCAGAAGACAATTCCTGTTTGTATTGCCTCTGTTCTGACTCAGATGTTCATGTCTGTGCAACCTTTTAATCTCAACATCTGGTATTAACTGGTGGTTCCAGCTCCTAATTTAACACTTAAGTGAACAATACCACCCTCGAGTAAATGCTGCTTGACTTAGCAGCTCTTTCTTTTCCTTTGCCACTTCAGTCAAGTACTGGGAGATGTCAGAGGATCACAACATGGGCCTGCTGATTGAGCTTTTAAATTTCAGAATAAAGCAGCAGCTTGATTCTCAATGTAATACTGTGACATCTGCGTACCAGAAGTTGTCATTTCTGTAGCGTTAACTGTATATGCAAGGTTCATACTGTGAAGGGTGTGTCCTGAGTAAGGCAACGCAGAAGGAAGAATTTGATGTAACAGAAAGTCAGCATGGAGATATGGCTTCTCTTTCTTTCCCTGTTTTTTGATGATAGCAGGTTTTTGGAAGTAATTTTAATTGTTTCTAATCCTTAATTGTAATCCCAAAACATGCAGCAGTCTTAATATTAAAATTTGTAATGTTATGGGAGGGAGGGGGGGAATCTGGCAGATTGTCTTCCAACTGTACCAATAATCCCTGCTCCACACTCTTCTCCCATGTTGTAGTGTGGGATTTTGATCACAGGAATAGAGTACCGTCTGTTTAAATGTTTGGGGTTTTTTCCTCTGAGAACTATTTTTATGTGCAAATGAGCAATTCTATAATGTTTAATCACTTTTCCCAGAAATTGTACTAGCTCCTTTTTTGTTTAAACTTGCTTACAGAGCAAATGAGTTTGGTGAGGTCTTCCTTTCTGTTTGCCATTTCTCCATGAAAGCCTTTGGACCAAATTACAACCAAACCACAAAGAAATATGATGTCTTAGCAATAGTTACAGGATTCATGAAAATCAATGTCTCTGCTGATGGGAATGGTTATGGGTTCTTTGATAGCAGCTCACTGGCACTGGCTGGAGAGTACGTAACTCCAGCCTAACCGCAGCATTGCATTCACCTGCATGGAACATGGGGGAAGCTGGGATGATGGTGGGGGTAAGACATGAGTTCTCTTACTCACGGGACTGTTTATTTGATTTTGATTCAAATCCTTCTGAAGAATCAGAGCAGTGGTGGGTGTTCCTGGTTGTTCAGTAATACAAAACTTAATTAGTTGGCATTTGCTGGTGCTCTGCCTGCAGGAAGGCAGCCTCCCCCGGGCACAAGGGAGAGCTCCAGTTTATGCAGCATTCAGTCTGTTTCTATAAACATTATCTCGGCTACACGTCAGCTCTAGAGTCTGCAAGGGCTGCCTGAGATTACCACTTCAGGAGAAGTTTGAAGGGCATTTGAAGGGTAGAATGTGAGATAGGCTAATAAAAACCTATATATGTTGCCTAGTTACAATAGCCCACAAAGCAGGTTATTCTAAGTCTTTTTCCTGTCTACTCTGAGAAAATAATGTTAACACCTGCTTTCTTATTTTAAAAAAAGTTTAAAAAAAAACAATTTCAGCACAGACTTCAAAAGTTTATTGATTGTTTTTTTTCTTTCTCATTTCTTTTTATTTGTTTCTATGAATGTGTAGTCACACACTCTGTCCTGTCAGTCTCCCTTTCCCAGCACTCCTACCACAAGGCGTGCCTTGCAAAGGACTTTGTCAGATGAGAGTATTTACAGTGGTCAAAGGGACCACTTCTTCACCTCGCGGGCCTCACTCTTGGACCAAGCCATGCCAAATGATGTACTATTCACCAGCACGTACCCTTCTCTCCCAAAGTCGCTGCCGTTACGGAGACCATCGTATACTTTGGGAATGAAATCACTACATGGTAGGTGTATTTCCCATTTTTCTACTTTCAAAAGAATCCTTTGTAAATCACATTAAAGGAAAATGCTTGCTACAGTAATTAATACTTGCATCTTGATTTTGCTACAATGAGGAGAGTCAAGTCACGTGTCTGAAAACATTCATGCCTGAATTCTTTTTTTCCTCAATTCAGTGGATATAAGACTGTAGAACTGGTCATGCAGTTCCCTTTGGAGAGAGCAAAAAAATTCATCTCATTATCTGCAAGTTTTCATCAGTTCTTCAAGGAGTCATCTGGACCAGTTGGACCAATGAGCAAATAACATATGCCATCAATGACAGCTTCAGGTGGCAGTTTAGTGTGGGATTATGGGAAAATAATGGTGTTAGGAAAATGATACAAAAATGGATGAAATACTAGTGGATATTTGGATGTACAACTACACCAGATTCAGCTGTTATTGCACCAGCTATTAAATTCCCTCCCTTATCCTATTCACTTTACAGGGCTAGAATTACTTATTTCAGTCACACATCAACAGCTAACAGGAAAAAGTAACTTGGTAAAATACTGTCAAGAAGGCACTCAGCTTTCCCCCATTAGTTTACTGAAAAGTCTCAGTAGGATTATCTGATAGGTTGTGTGCTGCTGCATGTGAATGTCTCAGTTGGTGAGAAAGGGAATTTTCACAGGTTCCAACTGTACCTCCTAACTAAATGTGTACTAAATGTGTTTTCCAGAAATAGAGCTAGATCTCACAGTGTAGGATTCTGCAGTGTTTTCTGAAGTACATATCTGCTCTGATTTATTCATGTTTTAGTATGTTTCAAGAGTTAAATGCAAGGCTATCAATAGATTCAACTCACTATAGTGGGCCTTAACACAGTCTGTATTCACATCCACAGGATACATTTGACAGGGAAGGCTGCTGAAGAAATCTATTTTAAATGCTTTTCATCTGTCTGCGATCACCAGGCATCAGTTTTCAGTGTTGAACCTGACATTTTCATGAGCTGTTGTTTCTGTGCAACATGTTTCTTGCATAAGAGTTAGGAAACTGAGCTCTCTTCACTTCTGCTTTTTATATATACTAAAATAACTTCGCAGACTTGGTTACGCTTGTAACTGGCTGGTGGATTTGGCTTCTGAAGTCTTGGGTCAGAAGATTAACGATGCCATCTGAGCAGAAGTGGAAAGTAATGTGGAAAGTCTCTTTTCATTTAGATGATTGTAGATTCCAAAAAGAAAACCACAAACCATTCTTTCCTTGTCACGTTCCCTTCCACACCAAACCGATTACTCCTCGTAGTATATGAGCTTTCTACACTTGTCAACAAAACAAGATTTTCTATTTTCTGTAACATGTAGGGCCTGCATGATAAAAGGACCAGCTATTTGAGTGGCACGTAAATTGTCTTTTCCCCCACACTTGTCTTTGCTGAGAGAAAGATAAAGTAGAGCTGGATATTTAATACCACAAGTACTTGTTGGCTTCCAGCTGTTCAAAATTCTTTTAATTGGAATATCTTAGTAACAAAGACCAGCCATTCCAGAACACCTTCAGTTGTTCTGAAGAGGGAAAACAGTGAGCTAAAAACATTCTTCTTATCTATCTTAACAATCACTTGTTAAACTCACACTTTTAAAAGAGGTGATTTTTCAAATGGTTAGTTTTTCCTTCTAATCCCATGTATCTTTTCACTAACTGTATAATTTTTTTGTTAAGAACTTCCCAAATAAGTGCCCTTTTTGGGGAGAGATTATGCAAGAAGCCTCAGTGTTAATACTGAGCTGAAGTTATGGTTATAAAAAGTAAACAGAGCCAAAATAATTATTTTTTCAAGATATTTGAGCAAAGCAGTGAATGCAGTGTCATTGCTTCCCAGGCAGTAATATTATGTAGCTGAAGTTATTAGATAGACACCATGCTGTCTGTCTGTTCTCTCTGTTCCAAATGGATTCTTCACTACACGCTTCTCCTCTGCTTCCTCCCAGATGCCCAGTCCATCTTCTTGCCCCTACATCTCTAGCGCTTCCAATACCGCCTACAAATTCTTCATAACTTCCTCTATGCCCTGAGAGAAGGCATGAGGAAGCAAGTTGTTGCTGCTGCTGAGCTTATGTATGTGCTGACTGACCAGCCATTGTGTGGTTTTGTGATTGTCCAGCCAGTAAACTGAAGTAAAGTAGATAATTGTTGGTTCACAATTTGGTCTTTAAAAAAAAATTATGGCAATAATTCAGGTGTTTCACTTCGCCAGGCGCCAGTTTGCACAAAAATTGCAGGGACTTTATATCCTTCTCTCAAGCTTGCCAGTGCTTTTTCTGTAGTGGGCCATGTACCAACTTACAGCGGGTGTGGTATTTGTCACTAAAGATCAAGAGATTTCACTAAATTGCTGAGAGGTGTTCAGTACTTTGGAGGTCATTTTAAGAGTTATCTTCTGATTCATCTTGGTAGGTCTAAGTCTGCTCCCATTGAATAATGAGATTGTAAAGAGAGGAGGGGAAAAAAATCCACAATTTTGTACTTTTACAGGAGCAAATAGGTCCAGGGAGTGTAGAAGCCCCAGCAGAGCCCTCCAAAGTACCCTCAGCTCGTGCAGAGGCAAGAATTGTTAGGTAGAAGAGTATAGCCCACAGCCCCAGTGCTGAGAAGAAGCAGAGACTGGCTTTTGAAGTGCTAAACTGCAAAGATTCAGGCAGATTAGAAGGGAGCTGAATGGCCTAGCGAGAAGCACTTTCTCAGAAAACTGGCTTGTAACATGCTGTATCTGGTCAACTACAGTTGATCAAACATTCTACTGAGTTCTGGTTCCAAAAGTGCTATCCCAGAAAAATTAAAAAATAGGGATGCATTGGTATTAAGACAGGAATTTTGGAGGGGTTTTTATGGAATTTATGATCTGTTCTGCATTACTCTAGGAGAGTTTTCTGCCTCAGATAGCTCCCTCACAGACATCCAGGAGCAAAGACGGCAGCCCATGCCAGACCCTGGTCTTATGCCATTGCCTGATTCTGCCTCTGATCTGGACTGGTCAAACTTGGTAGATGCTGCCAAAGCCTTTGAAGGTAAGTTTTCAGAATATGGTACTGAGAAAGCTGGTCTTTGTGCAAGCTTCATTAAGGGCTGGTTTTGCTGTTTGGCATTTTAAATCTTGATTCTTTTGTTGGGTTTGTTATTTGTTTGGTATTTTAAATCTTGATTCTTGTTTTTACTGTTTCCACTTAGTCTGAAGCTTAAGCTCACTTAAAATAGCAACTCAGGTCTTAACAGCCTAAAGCTTTGTATGTAACACTCGGATGCTATTCCTTCGTACTGGAATTCCTCTGTGCTGTGGTTTGGCCAAATCTCTGAAACTAGCTACTTGTCATGTAGAGCAGTTGCAGACATGACAGCTAGGGAGGAAAAGACATCTGACACAAAAGTGCAAAAGTAAAGTCCCATAGCAGGGGGGCAGGCATATGAGCTCACTAATGATCACTTGCTTACTGCACTAGCAAGAAGTGTAGTGCAGCTGAAGCGCGCTGCCAAGGTAATTTGGGAAACATGCCCCGTTGGTATACACTTTTCCCTTGCCATTCTTCCCTTTGCATGCTCTGTATACAAAGGCTTGCACGTAAGTGTTGTTTGATCCTGTGGCACTTTCAGTCTCCTTCAAACTGAACTGTATGTTGCCTAGCTGTACTCGAATTTAAATACACTTCAGCCCAAAGGGAGTTTAACTTACAGTTACTGTAATCCGATGGAAAAGTCATCTCAGGTGCATTAAACAGAAGTGCCTTTCCCCAGTCTCTGCATAAATGCTGTCCCATCTTCATGAAAGTATTTTCACTGACCCTGAATCTTTTAGACATTATTCTGCATGGCTGGAGGAGGCTGTGAGGTAACTTGCTTTCTTGTCTGTTCTCTGGCAGTAGCCATATACATCATGAAGACAGTGCTTGTCTAAGCTGGTGTTCAAGACATACTCGTGTGCTCTGCTCTATTGCCATAGGAGTTGTAGAATCAGCATGTCTCATTTCTGCTGTGCAGAATTGAGAAAGAGTATTCAAAGTAAGCCTTAGTCTTCAAGAGGAGATGGATTTGTAGTGGTGTTTTTTTCAGTACTACATAGGGATGAAACCCAGGTTTTAATGCAGTTCACTGTGGTGGGCAATTTCTGTTTAAAAAAAAAAACCTTTTTCTGGTTAGGTTTTGACTGTCCTCATTAACCTGAATCCCTCACTTTTGTAGGCCCCAAACTCAATTGTGTTTCTTTTTAGAATTGTGAACAAAGTCAGTGTGGTGAAGGTGACAAACTGGCAGTTCAGATGAAGAAAAGCTGGGGGTAACATGCTGGCTGGCACCTTCATCTCACCACCGTAAAAATACATTCAGATTTGACTTGGAGAGGGAGCAGCTGTCTGATGTCAACCTAATCCCAGTCTCTAGTCTCTGACAGTAGGGATTGACAAATACGAAGCAGCCTAAATTACAATTTGTGATCCTGGACACCTCTTTTCTATATCATCAGTTGGTGTCTTCAGCACAAGCCCTCAAAATTACAAATGGTGGAATCTGCAACCAGCTGAAACAAAATGTGCCTGGATCTTGAGCTAACCAGCTTTCAGTATTTTCATTCAAAGGAAAAAAGAGAGGAGCAGGGAAAATTCTGTCAAACACCAAGGCACGTTAATTTTAGCCTTTTTGAAAGCACAGAATAAAAATTTGCCAAGCAGAAAAGGATGATACTGTTCTATTTCTGGTGAGAGACCAGCAGCTGCTGAGGGAGAGATATGTTAATTTATTAAATGAAAAAGTGTTTGTTACTGTTTGTGCTAGCAAACTGCAGAGGTAGGGGCAGTTGGTAGTTTACAGTCACACCACATGTGATAGTGGTTTAGAGATGTGTTAAAATATCTGAGCAATGATAAGACCAAATGTGCAGACACAAGGCAGGAAAGAGGTTTCACATTTCAATCTGAACATGTTTTCTAAGGCATAAGGAAAAAATTTCGGGTTCCGAAAATTGCATTGCTCATTTTACTTTCCACATGTAAATTTGGCACAGTGAGCTTTTCTTTGCTAAAGGTAGAGGTCCATTATGGATTGAAGGAAGCTAAATATAGTTACTGAGCTATTGGGTAGTGTCATGCAGTTGTACCCAGGAAGTTCTGCACTGTGCTGCTGTTCTGGCTTGGCTTCTTGCCTCTTCTGGAACTGGCCTTGGGTGGACTCTGGAAGCACCACTGGGGTATCTGCGTTGCACTCTCTAGCATCTCCCTGCTGGAGAGCTGCTTAGCCTGAGGGTGATGCATGATCCGTGTGAGCATGCAGTGCTGTGCCAAAGCTAGTGCTTGCTTGTTGAATCTGATACAGGTGAGAACCTGGTGCAGACACTTGCAATGCCAGTTTGCTTCCGTCAAATGGGTATCAGTATGTGGTATCATCACCTTATCTTGCTTAAGACAGACTTCACTTGCTTTTTGATCCGGCAGTGTAGCTGCTGCGCTATGCATGAACAAATAGTCATTATTGCTGTCATTGTTTTTCTCTGTATGTTTGCCTTCTCAGTTCAGCGAGCTTCATTCTTTGCTGCTGCTGATGAAAATCACAGACCTGTGAGCGCTGCCTCCAGTAGTGATCAGGCTGAGGACCAGCTTACTGCACAGATAAAGCCTTATACAGGGTGAGTAAATACACCAGATATGCAGGCTTCCTTAGATACAACCCAAGGAAAAGAGCAGGAACATTCTTTATTTGGAAGCCATCTCCAGGCTTCACAGAACTCTTCACAAGTTCTCATGAAGATGGGTGGGAGGTGAAAACAGAAGAATCGTAAGTCCAGTTGGAACCTTTTTGCAGGTTCTTTCTTGTCTGAGATGTGCATGAATGTGTACAAAGCATTTAGGGCACATACGAGTAGAAAGAAATAGAGAGAATTCAAGTGATGGGACGGCCCCAATTAACCGTGAGATAAATTTGTTCTGTTGATTAATGTTCTGCATATGTTCCATGTACTCTGTTGTGTTCATTTTGTGAGTTCTTGGTGTACCTGCGTGCATACCTACATGAAGCCACTTGGTACAGACCAGGCTGTTAGCTACCCTGTGTGAAGATAGTAAATTATATCAATACCTATTCTTGTTTCCTGCTTACAACAGTAAAGAATCTCCCCCAACTCTTGCCTCTAAAGTGGACCAACTGGAAGGTTTGCTGAAGATGCTGCAAGAGGATTTACGGAAGGTAAACATTCCATCTACAGAAATCTGTAAGACACTCATTTAGCACTGATAGGTGATGCTAATAACTACATAATCCTGCTTTGCCATGCCTGAGCCTGTGACAGTCTTATCCTGTGTGAGAACACAACATTTCTTTGCTACTTTTCTAGGCTGTACTTTTCATTATGCAAGGCCAGGATGGAGGGTCTAAATCCGTAGGCATCTGATTCCTTTGCTTAAATTAGGAGGGCAATGCAGAGTACCTTCACTTCTAATTCAGGTGATTTTGTGAAAGGCTTGAAGTTAGTCCATGTAAATACATCCTGCTGCTGTTGCAAAGTTGACAGTGTTCTCTAAATGTATCATTTCTACTGTGGAGATTTTCTGTATTGCATTACTGCCTGCTAGGTCCAGGGGGGATCATCTGTGGTCACAGGAAAAGTCTTTTAGCTGGGGAAGTATTTACAAGAATATTTCCCATCTCTTATGTAGTTAACCTTCAGCAGTTGTACACTCATGTCGTACAGACAGAACAGGACATGCCTCATTTTTTCACCACCTGGGGATCCAGCTTCTATATTAGAATTTAATATAGAGAAATTCTGCTCATTCAAGCAAAAAGTGAGGAATGAAATGTCAAAAATGACAAAAATAACCATGTGTTTCTGCACATAAAATCCTTATAGATTTAGGCTTATACTCTCTTAAAGAGGCTCTTGACTCTCTCTATGGGTAGGAAGCATGACCTAAAATTTCCACTAAGGTCTGTGTTTTTCCTCATGCCTAAGGAAAAGGAGGACAAGGCCAGTCTTCAGGCTGAAGTGCAGCATTTGCGGGAAGACAACTTGAGGTTACAGGAGGAATCCCAGAATGCAACCGAGAAACTGAAGAAATTCACTGAATGGGTTTTCAACACGATTGATATGAACTGAGAACAGTGTATGGGGAAGGAAACGATCTGTTATGAATATTATTCCTGGGACTTAAGCTTTAATGCCACCTTAATCATGACATGTGAAAGTATAGTCAGAGCACTTCCCTGTCCTTCATCCTCCAATAATCCTTTTTGCATCTCTGCGCGCACTCAGAACGATTGCAGATCAACAATCAATGTCTGCCTTTTGTAGAAAAAACAAAGTAAATAATTTTAAAAAGGTAAAATAAAAGTTTAACTGCTAAAATGTGAATGTCTATTTTTTGCACATTGTCTCTTTATCTGTTATGTACAAAATGATTTGGAGGCGGGATCAGGCTTGCTGTTCCATCTGCCTCTGTTTCCATTAACTCCTTTCTCTCTGTTTCAGGTAATCTGCTTTTCCTTGCAGCTTTGGCAAATATTATGACATCTAGAAAATTAGAAGGAAATGTTTATTTTACTGCTCTTCTTACGTTGTTTTCTGAAGTATGCCACAGACAAGGGGATGTAATGCAATGTTTTAGGTGTCTCCTTAGCAATTTGCGCTTGATTGCTAGTGCTACCTTCTCATACTTTACAGAGAACGTGTGTCCATAGTGTATGGTACAGTACAACCAGCATCCTAACCTTTGGAAAGAGACTAGAGATGTGAGCCATGGGCAAGGCATATTATCACACATCTATTGCATTAGCATTTCTGGTTGCCTTTGTTTCCTGTGGAAACAATGGCTGCAAGTACCTTTACGAACAGCAAAACTAGGCATGCTGCAGTTCATACCATGTCAGGCAGGCTGAGAGATAACCAAGTACTGTTGCTGTACCGCTTAAGTATAGTCCCCTTCCCTTCCAGGGGAATCTGTTGCTTGCATATCTGCAGAAGACTTAGGCTGAAGTTGTAAAGAGATTAAGATTTCTTCCCCCTGAACTGTTTCCATGAAAATCCACATAAAGCATCTCTGTGCACCTGCTCTCCCATTCCATTTCTCTGGACTTCTCAAATCACAGCAGATTTGAGAAACATTTATTCAATTTGTGTTTTATTACATGAGAGGTCTTATAAATCCTTTACTATGAAAGACAGAGGAATATGCAAAGGTGAATTAGAGAAGTGCATTTTTCAAAGCACTGGGATAGGATTGGAGCTCTGAAATCCCCAGTCCCCAGTGAAACCGTCTAACAAGAGATTTCCCAAACTGCCTCATGCCAGGAAAGTTAATTTCTTGTTCTTTGAAGGAACAGCTAACTTGCCACAACATGTTACCTCTCCAGAACATAGCTTTCAGGTGTCAGAATACAACTTTTAAGCGCTGCAGTCTGCACAGGCATTAAACTGTGCAGCATGCTCAGAAACCTTTTCTACTCCCTTCTGAGGATACCTTAATAAATACTGCCTTGCATAAAGTGCAGTGTTATTTGGGGGTTAATGTCAAGAGCATCCACTCTTTACCACGCTCTCAAATAGACAGAGTAAAATCATCAGGCATAGTCTTGTCAGAAAAACTTCCATGCTCTTTTCAAATCCCTTTTTCATGCTCTTAATCTTGCTCCACACAAGTACACACTACACTTCAACCTCAAACTTAATTTGTGATGCTAATCCCAATGGAGTTCTTCTCTAATGTTTTGTCATGGAAATGGATCTCTTTGGAACTATTTCTGGAGTGCTTTTGTAAAGGTTTAGAATGTCGTGGGTTTTTTAATGACTTGTATGAAGGAGATTTATATAATGCCTGATATTATTTGTAAATGGGAAATATTGCTAACATCTCTGAGCATCCTGAAGTCTTGCTTTTATTCTCTTTTATTTTTAAGTTTGTTTTTTATTTTATTTCAAAAAATATTTTGGGACTTGGGGCAGACTATTTATTAGAGTTTTGCAACAGAGTTCTTCTTGTATGATGCCACTGAAGGCTACTTGTAAAATTCTGACAATAAAACTCATTTTAAAGGCTCTTCTAAACCATTTTCTTCTGATTTTGTTGGGTTTGTCGTTTTAAGACTTTTCAGAATGTCCATTTTTTCCTGCTTTCTTTTTGTACCACTTTTCTCAGTGCTTAGAAACATTTACATTCTCTGTTGTGTTTTTACTTTTTATCCCTTTGAAGGCCATTACTTGGTATGTATACATGCACTTCATCGCTGGACTCTTCACTAGTATTTCTGCACAAATGTGTTTTCTTTTCCCATCACATACCAGCATTTTAGAACTTACTTCAAAAAATTGAAGCCAATTTAGGTCAAAACCAAACTTGCCTGACATGTCTGCCCAAGGGCACGCACAGCTTTCAGCATCCCCGAACCAAACTTGTGAGCTTGCAATGTTAGGTGTTAGGTTTGGGAGGGTGGGACAGATACTCCATTTGTTTTGTTTTCCAGATCTCCTCCTTTGACTTGGGAGATAACTTTGGACATGATTTGGACAGATCTTTTGGCCCAGTGGATCAGTGTTATGCAAAGCTCAGAAATGTGAAACTAGGTTGGTCTGCAGGAAAGCATCTTCCAGGTTCACCGAATGGATCCTTAAAAGGCATGTGGGGAAAGAAAATCCACCTCTTTTTAGCAGTGAAGTTATCAAACCAAGAGAGCTCTGAGGCAGGAAGAGCAAGTAGTAGCATCTGGTTGAAAAATGGGAGTTGAATCTTGGAAAGAAAACTAGATAGATGCTGTCTTACCATTTGTAGTTGGATACTGGTAATGGAGTTGAAGCAGTTTCCTGCAGGTCAAGGAGCTGCCCTGCCCACATTCAGAACAAATTCGTGCCAGGGGTTCCCACGCATCACCACCACAGCAATAGGACAGCCTAGACCAGGGCAGGATCTAACTTGCAGGTATCTCCTACAGCCTGAGTAGTTGTGAGCCTAAGCAGAAGATGGGTGGCTGTAGGAGTGTGGGTTACAGGGGCTGTCTTCACATTGCACCTTTTCTCCCAAGAAAGTGATGTTTTAGATTCCTGACAAGTTCTGTATTCTTTGTCCATGTTCCAGTGTGAAGATGCTGTTCTCCTGTGGTGGCAGTGTTTTGGGTAGCCAGCTGTGGCTGGTACAGCAGCAGAAGGCTGCCTTCTCTCAAGATTCCCAAACTGGGGGGGGGGAGGGGTGTGAAGGTGTCACCATGGAGGGGCTGCTGCCAAGCATGCATGATGGATAATGCTATCAAAAGTGAAGCATGATGTAGGTAACCGGTCAGAGGGTATTGGACTGCAGTAAGAGACAAGCTGTGAGGCACACAGGAGCTGGGATTGTGAGGGGAGAGGTTGGTGGGAAAGAGACTGGAGAGCTAGTTACGGAGTTGGGGGAGATATGGTGATGGGATGAAATGGAACACATCCAGGCTTTATTCCTCAGAAAGCGTGGTTGCTGTATGGTAGCCTCTTGTTCCTGTGGGAAGCTGTGTTGCAGCCCAATGAATGGGTATTGTGAGAAAGCCTTTTTCTCCAGCTTTTCCTTTGGTGGGAAAGGTCCCCATAAACCAGGGAGGATTTGTGTCTGTTTTTAAAACCTTTACATAATCCCTTCTTTTAGGCTGACAGTTAACAAATTCTCTTTTAAAGCAGTTGACTGTCTCCTATCAGACACTTCAGAATGGTGTTAGTCCTGTATGTGAGTAACTTGCTTTGCTGCAAGACAGGAGGGGAACAGAGGCAGTTGCTGTTTACCAGCAATTCAAAATTGGGCTCCCTGGACGAGAGATGACACTGTCCCTCCTCAATCACTGCAGCTGGAGCAGAGACATGGGCTTTACTGAGACAGTTACTAACGGACAGGAGCTGGGCAATGAGATGACGAGGCTCGTACAGATGCCGTTACCTCTTCCTGAAGTTAGCTGTGGTGAGGAAGTCCTTGCTGTGCTGTTTGAGGCAATGCTGGGGGGAAGAGAGCTCACAGAAATACTGACTTCAGAGCGGTGCAGTAAGAGCCCCTTCTCACAGAGCTTTTAGCTTTGACTTGGTGTGAGGGGAGTGAGGCCAAGGAGCTTGTGTGCGCATCAGACTTGCTGGAGGCCACGGTATGGATTTGGAGCCCCATTTCCCCAAGGCAGTGGTGCTGATGATCTTGGTATGCAAAGTCACAGCAGGCAAGTCCCTCTCTCTGGTTTCTCCTGTGCCTGCATGGGCCTGCCTCCTGCCAGAAGGTGATTTCAAACAGCTTGTATTTCTCCCGGATGTTTGGTGTCTGAATGATTTAAAGCAGGCTGGGCTGTTTGTGGCGTGGCAGAGTTTGGCCAGCTGAAGTGGGAGCTCCTATGGGGAGTAAAATCAGGGTGCTGCAGCAATCTGCATGGCCTCCCCCCAAAAAGCCTCCAGGATTTTTTATAGAGGTTTCTCATTTCTGTACTCGGTACCACTTTAACCAAGGCCTGGGTTGAGCCTCCTGGTTCTCTTTCACCCTGCCCTGCCTACAAGGACACGCGCTGCCAGGCAGGGAGGCGCTGCTGCTGGGCAGACGATGCTCTTGGCAGCTAAAGGAGGCCCGTCAGTGTTTGACACACAAAGAAGTTGGAGACTGAAACTAGGACGTGCTCAAGGACAAGGACTGGATGTGGTTTCCTAACTTTGTGTTGTGATCACAGCGGATGCTGCCAACTAGTAACTAAAAAGAGGTTTCATGCCACGGGAGCAAAAAATTGGGGACATCCCGGTTCTGTTTTAAACTGCATTCCTGTTCTTTCCTCTTGCTCCTTCCCACCTTTCCCACCTTTCCCACCTTTTTTCCTTCCAGCAGTTTGTTTTGCCTGGTGACTGCAGTTGTGCAGGAGTGACTGCAGTGCTGGGGCTGCAGCAAAGCTGGGGCTGCAGCAAAGCTGGGGCTGCCTGTGGCTGAGCCGGAAGGCACATTGGGTCAAGCAATTTGAGCACTTGGTTGAACAAAAGAGCTTGACTGCTCACTGGATTTTTGCATCTCATCTCAAATCAAGTTGGCTGGAGTTGGGAGGCTCAGGGATAACCTAAACGTATGGAAGGAACAAGCTATGTCATGCCCAAAGAGTCATGTGCCAGTGATAACACCTGGTATGCATCGACCCACATGCAGCAGAAACAACTGGTATGTGCTTGCCTGGCACCTCATCACTCAGGGTGTCAGCTCAGTCCAGCTCTGCTGTGCCAACTTCTGCTGCGGGCATACCATGGGTGACAGTTTGGTGAGATTTCAGTCTCTTATTTCCTCCCTGACCTGTCACATTAGATCCTAATAGTGGGATAATGTAAATAAATATGCATCTATCTGCTTTTAACACATTGCAACATTTTAAGAGGTTGGGTGTTTT